AGGGCAGTTTTTCCCATCCTGGCATTATCCTACCACATCAGGACTTCAGTCAGACTTGCTTAATGATTGCAGTTGCAGTAGATTTATTGTCAAGGCTGCCTATAAACAAGAACCTAGTCATATAATGGTCAGCATTAAATTGGTACTAGATAAGGATCACTAGAATTAAGTGGGGGGGCTGGACTTGGACTGCTTGTGGCAGTGTAACAACTCTAAGCTAATTCCACCCTCCAGCTCTTCTCCGACATGATAAAGCAATGCTGAGAATTGAGAGTTTGGAGTCAAACAGCCATGGAGGACATAGGGTTGGGAAAAGGCTGCTTGGGGACCACACAGGTGGATCTTTAGTTGAGGAGGACAAACAGGAAGCNGGGCGGTGAACAGGCGATAATAAAAATCACAATAAATATCTATTCTAAAATCAGATTAAATAAATAAAGGCCTGCTCTAAAATACCCCATATAAAACCTGTACTAAAACATAATTAAGACTACGCCAGGCCGGCCGCACGGAATAGATGGGTTTTCAGGGCTCGGCGAAAAAGGCGCAGGTCCGCAGTTGTACGTAGGTCGGGGGGTAGGTCATTCCAGAGGGCAGGAGCTGCCACAGAAAAGGCTCTCCCCCTGGGGGTCGCCAGCTGGCATTGACTGGCCGACGGCACCCTAAGGAGGCCCTCTCTGTGGGAGCGGACTGGTCGAAGGGAGGTATTTGGTAGGAGGCAGTCTTGCAAATACCTAGGTCCATTGCCATGGAGTGCTTTAAAGGTTGTTACTAACACCTTGAAGCGCACCCGGAAGGCCACAGGCAGCCAGTGCAGCTCACGCAGGAGAGGTGTTACATGGGAGTATCTAGAGGCCCCCAAAATCCCCCGCGCGGCCGCATTCTGAACTAGCTGGAGCCTCCAGGTGCACCTCAAGGGGAGCCCCATGTAGAGAGCATTGCAATAGTCCAGGCAGGAAACAACGAGGGCTTGAGTGATCGTGCGTAGAGTGTCACGATCCAGAAAGGGGCGCAACATTAGACATGATACAGTTAAAAACAGAAAAGACACATTGGACATGATACAACTTCCCTGGTTTGAACAATACTATTGGTATTACCTTGTAAAAAAAAAATTACATTATAACAAAGTGAGCATTCTTTCAATAATATACATTATGGTTAAATAACTTTTAATTCTATCTGATATAAAAAATACCAGTATAAAGATTTCTGAGTTATCAACTTATTCATCAACATTCTTCCCAGCGTGCCTCTTTAAATCTAACCATTTATACACTTCATTCCAAATTTCGAAATAGTCTGTTTACTGAAAAAGTGACTTACAACCATTACAGTATCCCCATAGTCACGTGATCAAAATTCAGATGCTTGGCAACTGATTCATACTTAATGACTATGGCAAGAAAGGTCATAAAATAAGGCAAAATTCACTCTCGCTTAGCAACAGAAATTTTGGGCTCAGATGTGGTCATAAGTCGAGGACTAACTTGACTTATGATTTGTTGCAGTATCCCCAGGATTACAAGATCAAAATTCAGACATTTGGCAACTGGCTCTTATTTATGAGGGCTGCAGTGTCCTTGGGGTCACCTTTTTTTAAAATAAATGTTTTATTAACTTTCTGTTTTCACAAGCAAGTGCTCAATAGACAATGTGATAACTGAGTCCATTAATAATTCGGTGATAACATATAAGTTTTTCCAACTAAGTCCAATGTTACACCCACCAGTACATCCTCTCTTCTGGTAATAACAATTTTTCCGCATTAAGCAACTACAATTCTTATTATTGTTAGTAAACACAGAAGTGCATATCAATATTTGTTACATTTTTCTAATATCAATAATATCAGTTTAAAATATCTTTCCTAGCCAAAGCATCTTAGTTGCATTTGCATTCAATTTTCACTTATTTAATTCATATCCTATTTTTACTTTTTTTTCCATTTTAGTTTCCCATCCATATTCAAAGTACCCCAATCATTTATAATTTCAAAACAAGTTATATTTGGGCAACCAAAAGAATCCCTTATTCAAAATTCTTAACATATTCTTATTTTCCTTCTCATACCAAGATATAATATTCTAATTACAAACCCTAACTATCTAGTTATAATAATATTTCTAGTTCTAACAATCTATTCTTAACCATATTCAAACCTTTAATCATAATAGAGCATCCCTTCTAATAGGTCAAAGCTTTTGTTTCCTTCAATCTTACTCTAGCTTTCTTTCTTTGCCAACTAGCTTTCCATGTCAGTGTATTTGGATCATCAAATAATTCTAACTCTATTTATATATATATTATTTGGAACAAAAGAAACACTTTAGTTAAAATATTTTTGGAAGAGCTAGCCCGTTTAAACCGCCTCCCTCCTTTTATGATCTTCTGACAAGCAATGGGGAAGCCTGATTCATTTAACAACCATGTTACTAACTTAACAACTATTGCAAGAAAGGTTGTAAAATGGGACAACTATCTTAACAACTATCTTGTTTAGCAACGGAAATTTCGGGCTCAATTATGGTCGTAAGTCAAGGACTACCAGTACCTAATTTTTGAGTGATACTGTGTGATAAACCTGACTAGGTTTACATACTGGACTAAACCACAGTGTGGTTAGTTTGGTTTTTGCTTTGTGCAAACTTAGTCATAGTAGTTTATAACCCATAGTTAATTTAATATGGTGTGTATCAGTCTTCCCAGGTAAACCAGACGGGGAAAGATGACCAAATGAACTAATTCTACTTTACTGCAAGGCGACATTAACAGAATCTTGCAAGTCTGAAAGAACAAACTTCCTGCACCATTTTTAACTGATTCATTAGGGCAGGTCCTTCCTAAGTTTCTTTCTGGAGGCTGCTGCCTCTCTTGTCTGATTGTTTCCTAGGCAGCATCTCTTCCCCACATTCCCCAAGGTCATCCACACATTCCATTACAATGTGTAGTTGTAGATTAATGAATCAGATCTGGTGAATTTAGCCATCCTCCTCTATGAATCTGGCCTCCAGAAAGAGCCATGAAAAAGATCTCCACTTGTGGAAACTAAGATAGGGAATGAAAATGTTCCAATGGATCTTTCCTCCCTGTATTGTATCATCATCTCTTCCTGATTGCAATTTAGTGGGTGGGGACCAGCTTAACTCTTAATACCCACTCAGCATTTAGAAAGCTGTAGGTGTTTTTTAACAATAGCAGCCACCTCCCGATGGATGTAAACCCTTGTGCCATGGAACAATCCAAAATCTGGAAAAAGCTTGTAGGTGGAAGATGTGCCTAATTTAACCTTATCCAAAGTACTGTTCTTTCAGTATTGCTGGATGTATTGTTTATTATTTTGATTTATTGTTTTATCTTCCTGGCTTTATTTATTTATACCCCTCCTTTATTATTTTCACAAATAACTCAAGACAGCAAACATATCCAACACACCTTCCTCCTCCCATTTTCCCCACAATTACAACCCTGTGAGGGTAAGTTGGCCTGAGAGAATGACTGGCCCAAAACCACTCAGTTGGCTTTCATGGCTAATGTGGGACTTGAACTCACCATGTCTTGCTTTCTAGCCTGATGCCTTAGCCAACTCATGTTGTCCTGGCAGGAATAACAATCTAAAATAAAGTACCAGCTGTTAAAGTAAAACCCAGTTACTATTATTGCAAGTATGATTACTGTAATGGTATTTGGGAAAGACCTTATTAGGAGGCAAGGCAAAAGAGATGGTGCTTAGGGAACCATCAAATAAGGAAAAAAACATAGCTCACAGCTATGTAGTGGATAGCAGAAGAGACTTCCTAGTTCAGTGGTGGCGAACCTATGGCACGCGTGCCAGAGGCGGCACTCAGAGCCTTCTCTGGGCACATGCACCGTCATCCCAGCCTTGCCTCCTCCCGCGGCCCCCTCTTCACCAGCAGCCCCCCCAGAGGGGAGTTGCCCCTGGGTGCGACCCGTGTGGAGCAGCGCAGCCAAGGATATGGCAGCCGGGCAAGAATCTGCCCTCGTGCCCTATCGTGTGCAGATGATTCTGCGGGGTGTGGGCGGAGGGCATGGCTGCCATGGTGCTGCTGGGCTGCCTGGGCGATCTGTGTTGGACTGTGGAGGTGGTCGGTGGCCCTGAGGGTGCGGGGGGCAGGGTGGGGGCGGGGCAGTTTTGGGGCACTCGGTCTCTAAAAGGTTCGCCATCACTGTCCTAGTTTCTCAAGCTGTAAAGGAGATGACAAAATAATTGTGCTTTCAAACTTGCAAGATTCTGTTAAGGTAGCTTTACAATAAAATAGAATTAGCTTGTGTGGTTGTGTCTCCTTTCTGGCCTACCTGGTAAGGCTGATAATTTCTTAAACTCTTCCTCTTCAGCTATATTTTTATTTTGTTCCATGCAAGTAGAAAGGACGTGGGCAAATATTCACCCAGAGGTGAATATGATGGAATGGTGAGAGATTCAGATTATCACAACACCCATACAGAGTAGGCAACCTAGTGCTGACAACACTTTCCTTGTTGGATGTGACTGTCCGTGGCAGAGAAAACCTCCTCGTCCCCCCCTCCCCTCCAGAATAGATAGGATTGTAACCCCCTTTCCCACCATCCTTCTCACTGCTTGTTTTAAGCCTGGCAGATCTGTCCCTTCCACAAGGCAGGTGTTGTTGTTTTTCATTTTGCTTTTGGCAAATAGATCTTGTGTCTTAGGTCACCTTGTTACATGTCTCATTGCATTTCCTGTAACGTCCTTTGCCTTGAGAGGAAGGGCGGAAAAAGCTGCCAGTGATCCTTAGCGATGAAGATGGATTTGAGACTTCTGCCTTTATTTAGGGCGGTGGTGGTAATGCTTAATTTAGAGCACTTGCGGAGCATTTTTGATTGCAATGCAGAGTGTCAGTTGGAAGAACCATAACTGGAGGAGGTTTCTTTTTCATCTTTTCACCGTGTCTTCCTTGTTTGTTTGTTTTTTTAGCTCAACCTTCACTTCCCCGTTACCCCTGCAGACTAAAGGAAGGACAGAACAATGTTTGGCTTTCACAAACCGAAGATGTATCGCAGTTTGGAGGGTTGCTGTATTTGCCGGGCCAAGTCTTCAAGCTCCCGTTTCACGGACAGCAAGCGATACGAAAAGGACTTCCAGAATTGTTTTGGGTAAGAGGTGCTGCAGTTCCAATTGCAGTAGCTTTGCCTAATGTTTTCTGTGGCTGTGCAGAAGGGAAATGTTGAATGCAGTGCATGGAGTTCCTACCACCAGAGCTGATCTCCAACATGAAAAATGCCACATGTTTTGCGTTTGGCAAAGATCTCAGAGAGAAATTTGTCTGTTGCTGAACTTAGGGAGGTTTGCTTCCAGCTAATTTTAGCATGGAAGTCTGGAGGATAGATGCAGCCCCCTTGCATGCATTTACAAATATTTGGCAGATAAGAGTTGTCTGTGTGGGAAGAAGGGCAAGGTAACCTCCTGAAGGACAAAGCAGTAATTCCCAGCTGGCTGAAAATTGGAATATCTTATCCTTGGTTTCTGAGTTTGAAGATTGGAATGGGGATGTCAAGGGGGCTCAGTGGCCCTGTATCAGCTTATAAGACTCTTGGTGGGCCAGGCACTCATTTGGACCCCACAAAACGATTGCTGTGGTGCTAATGGTAAGTCACAGAATCACTCCTTTTCCAGAGGGCAAAATAATCTCCAGAAACGTCCTGTTTCATCCCAGTGAGGCATTTGTAGGACCCAGAGGCAATCCTGCAAGCAAATAAGAGAGTAGAGCCTAGTGCTTTGATCTGCTAAATATTTTTTTTTCTGAATGTCTATGGAGATTTTCAGTCATCCATGGTTGACTCAAAGGTGCTTTTTCAAAAGGCAACTGGACTTTCTTTTTTCTTTCTCTCTTGAAGGTGTTTCGCTTCCCTTCCAAGAAGCCCCTTCAGTTCTGACTGAAAAAGCTGAAGAACTGAAGAAGCTTCTTGGATGGGAAGTGAAACGTCTTAAAAAAAAAAATTCAGCTGCCTTTTGAAACAGGACCTTTTTGACATGATTTTTCCTGATTTTCTACCCCATGTGAAGATCTCAGAGAATAAGAGGAAGAGGAGAAGGCCTTTCTTTAATACATTGTTAAAATATAATGGCTATCTACTCCAAAGTTGTCTCCCACCTTTGCTTAATTTAATGTAATTCAGTTTCATATAACTATCTTAAAGTATGTTTTTTGCAAGTTTAGATTAGATTTTATTAAATTTATACCCCGCCCTTCTCCCGGAGGACTCAGGGCGGCTTACAGCCAGTTTAAAACAGTAATACAATACAAAATTTAAAAAGATTATGATCTCATAATAGCAAGCTAACCCCAAGATAATGATTTGAGTTTGGAATGTTGCCTCTTGTAGAAAGTCAAGCATCTCTGTGTGTGTATGTGCACACATGTAGCTGTTTTCCCTTGCTGCTTTTTTGCAGTAATTGACTTATAGTCTTCTCTTTACAGTCTGCATGAAGCTCGCTCAGGAGATATTTGCAATGCTTGTGTGCTTCTGGTGAAAAGGTGGAAAAAGCTGCCAGCAGGATCAAAAAAGAATTGGAATCATGTGAGTTCCTGAACTGTAATTATGAAGTGATTCATGTTATTTTTATTGATAGATATGGATGCATTGCTCACATTCAGGTATATCTCACCCTTCTAATACATATGATAAGTTATGCATTACATGAAATAATTAACAGTTAAAGCCAAGGAAAATTTACAACTTTAAACAGAAGAAGCAATGTAGTCAGAACATAATCAGTTATTTAATGTGGATGCAATAGATCAGTGTTTCTCAACTTTGGCCACTTTAAGATGGATGGACTTTAACTCCCAGAATTCGAAAGAAAGAGAGAGAGAGAGAGAGAAAGGAAGGAAGGAAGGAAGGAAGGAAGGAAGGAAGGTGGCTGGTAGCTTTGTATTCAATGTATGTGTGGCAAATAAGCACATGTGTGTGCATAGTGTCTGGGTTCATACAACATAACTAGCGAATCCCAATTTAGCCAAGTGAAGTCTGTTATTTGAATGAAGCCTCCTTGTTAATAAGAGAGGGCTACATTCAAGTTGCCAAATAAGGGTATATTTTAGGGCAGTTTTTCCCATCCTGGCATTATCCTACCACATCAGGACTTCAGTCAGACTTGCTTAATGATTGCAGTTGCAGTAGATTTATTGTCAAGGCTGCCTATAAACAAGAACCTAGTCTCATAATGGTCAGCATTAAATTGGTACTAGATAAGGATCACTAGAATTAAGGGGGGGGGCTGGACTTGGACTGCTTGTGGCAGTGTAACAACTCTAAGCTAATTCCACCCTCCAGCTCTTCTCCGACATGATAAAGCAATGCTGAGAATTGAGAGTTTGGAGTCAAACAGCCATGGAGGACATAGGGTTGGGAAAAGGCTGCTTGGGGACCACACAGGTGGATCTTTAGTTGAGGAGGACAAACAGGAAGCTTTCCTGCCACTATTTGCAATAGAAAGTTATGATTTACACAGCCTACAATTTTCATCGTAGAGCCCCTTTCAATATTTTGAACATCTGTTTTGCTTTTATTTTGAACTGTAAAACTCCTCAGTTATGAGGAGATTCATATCCTGTCTTTCTACTTGGAACATGCCTGTGTCTCAGGTATGAAACTGCTACTTATTCTTCACTCTTCTTTAACATCATTTATATGCTACCTTCTCCATCAAATTCTGGGCAGTTCATAACAACAACACATCAATAATATCTCCAAATAACCTAACTTGCATGAAATTATAGGGCCACAATTTCCCCCGTGGTTAAACTTCACCTGGTAGCTACAACCATAAAATTATAACCCTCGGGGGCAACGGCAGCCAACTTTTCTTCAAGCAGTCCTCTAAAAACTGGGCTGAAAGATGCTCTTTACTTGTTTCCAGACTGCTGTTAAAAAGAGAGCCTCTCAGTTCAGGAGGCAGAAGATTCCATATGAGAATTTTGTCTCTATTGTCATCTTCTGGATCACTAACAGATCACTCCTTGCACAGTAACAGTAATAGCAATAGACCTATATACCCCTTCATAGTGCTTTACAGCCCTCTCTAAGAGGTTTACAGAGTCAGCCTATTGCCCCTAGTAATCTGGGTCCTCATTTTACCGACCTCGGAAGAATAGAAGGCTGAGTCAGAATCGAATTCCTGGAGTGAGCAGTGAGTTAGCCTGCAGTACTGCATTCTAACCACTGCGCCACCACCGCTGAACAGTAAGTTCTCCTTCAGGAAGGACAGTCTCATAATAACTGAAGAATTAACCCATATTGAGCTTTTCTCAGCTCTACAAGGAAGGCTTAACTAAAAAACCAATGCCAATGCACTCGTGCCGGTAGAAGAGGAATGCTGCAGGTCCCATCAGCCCAATTATTCTGGCTAGCAGAGTCCAGGGGAAGGGCCTTTTCTGCTGTTGCACCTGCCCTTTGGAACATCTTGACCCCCGATGTGAGATTTGCCCCAACCTTCCTATTCTTTCATAAGGGCCTAAAGACCTGGCTCTGCTAGTTGACTGGGGCCCCAATGAGGGAAGAGCACAGTGGAGGTAGTTGATCAAGTAACAACAGATGCCACCTACCCCCATTTCACCCCACGTGTAATTGATGATGATTATAAGCCGCCCAGAGTTATCTTGTGGTAACATGGGCAGCCAATACATTTTAGAAGGAAGGAAGGAAGGAAGGAAGGATCAGGATTACTTTTATTGTTACAGCTACAGTAACAGAATCTTGCAAGTCTGAATGTGCTTCCCTCCCTCCCTTTCTCTTTGTGTGAACGAGGCAGAGGCTTGTCTGAAACATTTTCATAAATTATTTTCTTGGGCTCGACTCATCTCCTATTTATCTGACCATTGTCTTGGTAGCTCTTGTCCTTCAAGGCCATTCCTTATACTTTCTACAGTAGTTATCAGTAACTACCAGACCACTGATTGTACTTGGATGCCTACTGAGACCCAGTGCAGCTTCTGTGAGGTGGGCAGAATTCTGCTGAACCAGGACTGGCCGATCAGTAAACAAGCAGTCATATTTTGAACCTGCTGAAGTTTCTGAGTGGTCTTCAAAGGCAACCCCAAGTAAATCCCATTTTTAGCAATTTAGATAGTAGTCCCATTTCTAGTATAATAAGCCTAGGTTGATGGTAAGAACATGGGGCTACTGTACTACTTCATTCCTCAGGGTACAGTAATGCTTGGAAAGAGAAACTAAACAGCAAGCTGTCCTGCTGGGTGCATTTACATTTGCATGTTTAAAGGGGGCTATTGATTGGCCCTCTTACTTGCTTCATGCAATTCCAAGTGATGTATACGGGATTTCAGGTTGTCTGCCTAGGTGCTTGCGTGATCCAAGACCTGATTAACTTTGGCGAGATTTCTCATATCTTCGCTGATCTTTCTTTTTGTGATCATTGAACTGTAAGCTGTAAGCTTCTTAAAGTAGCAGCTCTGAGGGGAATAATTGAAATTCTTACTTATCCTCACAGGAGTTTTTCAACTGGCCACCTCAGACTTTCCAAGTAAAATAGGTAGATCTGTGCCTTGCAGTGTAAGCCAAGATTGGTGATCCAATATTTTTCTCTTTTACTGAGTACTCAACATGCCTAGAGCTGCTGCCATTCTGGCTTTGTCTTTACCTGCCTTTTTTATTGCTATGACTCGTAGGAGTATAATAAGTTAAATAAACATGAGGAAGGTGGTGACAGAGAGATCATGTGTTGTATAAGCCACAACAAGTCTGGCTTGAACATTCCTAATTGACAGTCTAGTTCTCACAGATGAAGCTATCTGTAGGTAGACCATAACACTCCTGATTGTAGGCAGTAGCTGGAATGCTGCTTGTAGTAAATGTCTTTCTATATTAAGGGTGAACAGGTATAGCGAGAATGATTACAGATGGTCCTCGATTAAGGACCACTTGTTTAGCAACTTCAAATTTAACAACAGTCCTGAACAAAGGATCCTTACAACCAGTGCTTGGCCATTGCAGCCTCCCTGCAGTCATGTGATCTGGTGATTTGGTAACTGACCCGAACTTCCAAGTATTGCAGTGTTGTAGCATCCCACAGTCATGTGATTGCGATTTGCACAGTTAATTAGGAATTTGGCATGAAGTTGCAGTCATGTGAGATCCTTGCTTAATGACTTGTGATGATTTACTTAGCAGGAACTACAGTCACTAAGCAATGTGGTCACACACAATGTTGCACTTTATTACATTTCTTAGTGACTGAAATGCCTGTCCTAATTACCCTCATTAAATAATGACTACTTAATAAGTAGTCTTTAATCTGTCAAACTATAGTTTTTCTCAGTTTCACAGTTTTAGCTTAATTAAATTTTTGTCCAGTTTCTATATCATTCTAATTTTCTTACAACTTGTATGAAACTTGGTACATATTTTTAAACATCTCTTTCCTAATAAAACTTGGAAATATTTTTGCAAACAGTTTTTTCTCTGATAATGCATTGGACACTATTTTCATTAACTATACATTTTATGAATATTTTCCTTGTGTATACCTACCGTCCCTCCCCCCAGAGACATACATATCTATTTCTACTGGATAGCTGTTCCTGTAACTGTTTTACAACATTTGGAAACTATAATAACTGTGGTTTGGTTAGCATATTGTTTTCTGCTATAGAAGAAAATTCAAACATGTGAGCTCCAGTTTATGTTAGCACTTTATTCATTATTTTGTGAAAATGAATCCATTTTTCTTTAAGTAGTATTGGTTCCCTTTTCCATTGAGTCTTTTAGTATCTCGGAAGAGAAAGAGGAATGGCTGAATAAAATAAGTCCAAGTAGGTAAGCTCGTGTTGTCTGTTAAACCAAAATGCACTGGCAGAATAAATTCTGAATAAAATATCACATTTTCCAACTGTTTAATTTCTTTGGTAAGTACCAATCACAAATTTCTATTGGGTTAGATAGGCTTGATAAAGAAATTCAGTTGTCCTCTTTTTTCTTTTTCTTTTTTTTAGCTTTGGAAATCCAGTTTTTTAAGTTCAAATCAGCATATTTTCCTATTTTAAAAAAATTATCTGTGTAGACCTTATTGTTCCTGATGGCACTAAGATGGCCTGTTGCCTTCTTGCAGGTGGTGGATGCAAGGGCTGGACCAAGTCTTAAAACAACACTGAAGCCAAAGAAGATGAAACCTCTACCTAGTAACAGGATGAAGAGCAATCAAATAAGCAAACTTCAGAAAGAGTTAAAGCGACACAGTATGTGCTGTTAATATGGATTTTTTTATGTGATGTGGGAGGTGCGGTGGCTCAGTGGTTAAGACATTGGGCTTGTCAGCTTGAAAGCCGGCAGCCGAGGTTTGAGACCTAAGCACCATGTGAAAGAGTGAGCTTCCATTACTTGCTCCCAGCTCCTGCAAAACTAGCAGTTTGAAAGCATGCAAATGTGAGTAGATAAATAGATATCACTTTGGTGGGAAGGTAACAGCCCTCCATGTTGCTTGCCACATGACTGCAGAAAGTGCTGACTCAGTGGGCTTGAAATGGAGATGAGCACCACCCCTTATAATCGCCAACAACTATTGGAGTAAAATCTGCAGGGATTCCTTATCTGATGTAATAGCCTAACTGTATTTTCAGTTGCCAAGGAAGACTTTCAGTTTACTGACTCTTGATACTTAATAGTCAGTCTCAGCTTTTACATCTTGTCTTTGAAAGTAGGTTCACAGTCATACGATGTGTGAATTTTATTTATTCTGTCAGTTTATTTTTGTACCCAAGTGAAAGACAATTTCTGGAGGATATTTGAATATCAGTGATTCTCATGAGCAGCCTCATATTGAAAATTTCTCTGAGCAAACACAATCTGGCTGATTTTATGACCTGAGAAAAGGTAATACCTGTTTATTCCAAACCATTATATATAATTTATGATATAAACAGGAAGCTAACAGTAATTATTCACTATGCCATATTTATGCTACCCAAAACAAATCTGAGAAAAGGAATAAGTCGGTATGTTTGAAGTAACAATTTTATGTTTACTTTCAACTGTTTTGTCTTTCACAAATTGTAAGGTTTGGATTAAATATTAATAGTTTGAAGAAAAATCAGGAAGAAAATAGCCTTTGTGATTGCCGTAAGAGATGAAAACTTCTTTTTAAATATGTTTTATTGATTTTTTAACATAGTCACCTTAATATTTGGTAAACAGTGTGTTGTCTAGGTTTACATTTAAAAAACATTCACTAACAGTTGGTTTCTATAATCTATAATCCACATAATAACTTTACTGTTATTATAATGTTCTCTTCTACCAACCTTAAGTTAATACAATTCTTGTTGTTTTGGTAAATAGCGATTGAGTATAAAAAAATTTCTAATATTTCTACAGATAACAATCACATCAATATAATATTTCTTTTCTATCTAGTCATTCTGGTTGCCTCATCAGAGATCCTGTTTACAGTTCTTGTTTACATTTGTTTTTCCTACAATGTTAATTACATTTAAATATTTAAGTATATTTTTTCTCATGTAAGCCATCCCAATACTTTTACCTTTCTTAAGGAATAAATAAGACTAAAAAAAGAAGAATAAGAATAAAGAAAAATAAAAGGGGATAGTATGCTACTTAAGATTCCTGTTTCCTATAAGCTAATACATATTTATCTCCAAAATTTTTCCATTCTTTTTTACCATAATTAAAAATATATTTAATCTTTAAATATTCCATTTAATAAATCTAGTCCTCTAGTCTTTTAACTCTTATTCAAAACATTTTAATCCATTGTAATTTTCTTAAAGTCAATCACCTTTAAATATCTAAAACATTTTATATAAGCCATTCCAACTGTTTTATATTACTCATATCAAGAAATAAAATAATAAGAAGAAAAAGAAAGTACTATGTTACTTGAGGGACTCTTCCCTCTTAAAATAAAATTCATATCCAAAATCTTTCTATTTCTTTAACCATATTCAAACAGGTGTTTCTTTTTAAAATATTCTCTGTGATAGGTCCCATCTCTATTTCTTAATTTTCACTTTAGCCTTTTTCTTTTGCCCAGTATCTTTCTTAATCAATATGTTCTGCTGAATCAAAGAATCTTTCCATATGCTTGTAAGTGTTACTGTAGATATAAAAGGTAAGTCAAGTACAATATCTTTGTAAGAGGCATTTGCCCATTCATGTTTGTTGAAAATCTTTTTCTTTCTTTTTCTCTCTGTTTCTCTTATCATTTTCTGTCTCTTCAGTTCTAGTGCTTTTCCTGACGTCTCTGCAGTCCATTTTGTCCAATCTTTTTTCTTATCCTCAAATTTGTTTTGTGGTATTAAAGTATAAGTTGTCTTTTCCAAATCCAGTATTTCTTGTAATTTTTTTCCCACTTGGGTTAAATCATACTTCTTTGTTTTGTTAGGTTCCATCTTTAAGTCTCTATCCTCAAATTTGTATTCAGTTATCTGTTTTATCTGTTCCTTCTCTATTGTTTTTTTCTGGAATTTTTTGTTGTTGTAAAGTTAAATTGGAGATGAATTGGTTTATATTTTCAAAGTTATTTTGGATTTCTTTGTGGTTTGAAATCATTGTTATTTGAATTAGTTGCAACATATCATATGTTTTCTCTTGAAAAGTATTTATTTTTTCTTGGTAAATTCTTTCTATAAGTCTCTGATTTTCCATGATGACCAAGAATCCAAGTTTTCTTTTCTCTGCAAATAGCTTTGGGGTCAGAGTTAAGTAGATACTTGTAATCCAGAAAGCTCCTTAAAGTTTATAAGTCTCTCTTTGTCTGCAGCCCAGATTGCTTTCTTTTTTGTCACAGCTGTTCTCTGTTGTTAGAGTTTTGAAGGTCACAAGTAGAAATTATTTTTTTCCAGATTTTGCCAAGTCCCGTATGAAAGCCATAGCTGTCATAGTCTTCATCCACCACTAGATGTCTGCACCGGTTTATTTTTCAAATTTTCAGAATGAACAAATTGCCTTTAAAATGAGAATCTTAACCATCCAGCAATTTTAGACTTATCCAGATTTAGGTTTTATAATCATTTCATTTCAATTGATCCTCCATAAAAGGTTTAATTCGCCGCTTCTGTTAGTAAAAGGGTGGGGCAAAGATCCCCCTCCTTCACTTTTGGAGGTTTTTTGCTTCTTGGGGTTTTTTTTTTTTCAGGAAAGTTGATAAATAGGATAGAGAAAATTGATGTTCTTACTCAGATTCAAACCCGCTGTTTACAATCAGCTTAAAATAGTGCTTTTGACTTCGGTTGCTTGTAGCTTGGGTTAGAC